TTGGATTCACCTCTTCTTCCAGGATTGGACTTTAACAAAATGTGCTTTCTTCTAAAACCAGACCACTGCTCAACAGTCCAGCTCTTTTACTCCTTTGACCAGGTAAGATGTTCATGGTGCTGTCGTTGGTTCAGGAGCGACTTGATGCATCAGTCTTGACACACTGACACTGACATCCTTGTGAAGCTCTTATATTCTCGAACTGCCTTTCTTGTAAATCTTTTCGAGGCTGTGGTCATCCCTGTTGCTTCCGCACCTTTTCTCCAGCCATACCTTTACCTTCCAGCCGACCTTCCATTAATATGCGTCTATACATCGCTCTGAACAGCCAGGTTTTTCAGCAACAAACTAGACTGAGAGATACACAGTAATTATGCTGTCTTAATAGCAAGTTATTTAATGATTTAATCATCAGGACAGAATGAAATGTCCTGATAATTTGAGATATTGGATTTCTTCAAAATTTAAACAAAAAAAGTCTTTAAATATTTCCTAGAAAATATGAAAATTCCTTTTTGAAATAAAAAAAACTCTCACAACTATTAAATGTTTTGTGATCCACTAAAACTGGGACTTGGTTTTCTTGGTTAGCCGGTGATCATGTTTTTTGTGTGAGGTGAAGAAGATTTCTGACAGGTTAACAGGTTAATATTGGGGAAAAACTGAGTCTTTCCAGAATCCAGCTGCTACATCCCGGCATCATAATGCATTTCATTTGAGCTACTCCACTAAGTAAACATAACATTAGCTCTGGTTTGCCACTCAGTCAAGCTCAGCCAGCAGCTCCAGTAGATCAGCTCACTCTGCAAGCCACTTTGATACCCACCACCACCCCAACACCTCTATTTCATGCTACTTCTGACTTAAACAATTATCGTCACCGGTGGCTGCTCTGTTTAGCTCTCCGCCTTTAGGCTTTACACATATTTGCTTTTAAGAGCGGACGTGTCCCAGAACAGAGCTATATCACCAAATATAATTAGTGTAAAAGGAATAATAAAAAAGAAACAGTCCTGGCAGGAAATCCTCAGGTTTACCTTGTCCGAGTCACAGCACACAGCCTGGGCCTCTCATCTGCACTCCTGGGCTGGTGAGTGTGATGGTGACCGTGGTAAACAGAATTTGATTTGAAGTTTAAGCTGGTTGAATTATAGTTGAAAGGTTTAACGCAGGAGAAAATGATGATAAAATGACTGATTTCAGTGTTTAGGAATAAGTTGGAAAGATGAAAGTGAGAAATAAAATGTGTCGTATTTCTGTTTCATTTTTCCTCGTTTCCAAAATAAGAGTTTAGATCACAAATATTACCTGTGCCTGTGCGTATGTAATGGTTATGAATGAGGCTCCCGGTGTTGCTTTATCTGAAAGTCGGGAGGGGGGGAGGGGGGACCTTGGGATGAACAGCTGAGCCAATCAGACTGACCACAGGATACGCCACAAACGGGACTGTAGACCAGTTTAACCCATTCAGGTTTTCTCTTCCATGAGACAAAAATCTTCTGTTTGTATTGTAAAGTTGTCGGTTGTTTTCAGGCAGGAAGTTCTCAGGTTACTTTGTTATCTGAGAGCTGTGGAAAGGTCACCGTGTGGCTTTAATCAAAGGGAGAGGCTACAGGCGCTTCAGCGTGACCTCTGAGATGTTAGAGGATCCACTGTGACTTTTTGTCCTCACTGATATTATCTCTTTAGTGACAACAGAGCGTCAACATGATGATGAATGCTAAGCTTCAGCCAATCATTTGAGCCAATTAGCGCACGTCTCTGTAACATTTCCTGTTCGTATTTAAGCTTCACAGATGAGCGATGATTTTCTGCCTGAACCCACAGGAACTCCTGATGCTCCAGCAGTTTCATTTTGACATAATATTATGCACTTGAGTGTATTGTTGTTCTGTGTGTGTGTGTGTGTGTGTGTGTGTGACCATGTGATCTTCATGATGATGTCATCAGGCTCTGCATGGGGATTGGTCCACAGCTACCTAAGGGGAAAAAAGCAAAAAACGAGTGCTTGAGTCGTGTTACCTGACACGTTTCCATTCCTCCTGATTATTATTCATATTTCCTTTTTGATTTCATTTTTAACTGTGTGAAAGCGCCTGCCTATGTGACGGCCCAGCCTCCGTCACCAACACCAAAAACAACACGTCCTGAACGCTCCTGTAAAGCAGGGGCACTAATCTGATGCTCAGTGGAGAATGGCTGGCTTTTTCACTCTAATACCGAAGGTCTTGACCTTCCTATGAAAAAGTGGCTCTGCGTTACATAACTTTGGATTTGGGACTGAAAATCAAATTGATTTGAACTAAAGGCAGGTGAGGCTGACAGCCAGCTGCTGCGCTGCACTCTGAACAGTCAGCAGACGCTGGTGCTGCTTTATCGGAGCGACGAGCCACTCTGAAAGTGATGGGTTGTCTTCTGCAGTGTGGATCTGAAAGTCTGCTGCAGGTGGGCACACAAACCTCTAATGACATGATGCCTGAATCTCATGCACACGTCTGAACAGAAAGAAGCAGCAGTCGATCAGGCGATGAGGTGAAAGAAGTTTTATGTCTGACATGCACTCGTTTCATTAATCTGATGGCAGCTAAACATATCTGAATATGCAACCTCTTTATTTTTCTGTAGAAGTCAACAATAGATGATTAGTGAGTGTACAGTGTACAGTTTGTGGTGTTATTTGGATGCATAACATCCCAGAGTCTGTCCTGTCAGAAGCTTAATCATCCAGGATCTGTCTACACACGCTGGCCACATGGGGCATCACATGGTCCTGGACCAGGATGACCTGAGGACCCATGACTGACAGAAATGTGAGGATTTTAACCTGGTACCTAACAGCGGTCAGGGTACCACTGACTAGCACGTGGTCCATATATGAACCTCCAAGGACATGAACTTGGACCCAGTGATACCTGCAGGCCTTTAGCTGGCGGAGCTAAAATCATCAGTAATCTTTAGTTTTCCATTGTTTACTTTTCTCTGCAGTTTCACATCTATTACAAACTGAACAGACTGCAAGAAGCAGAAGCTGGTTTGATGTCGTCTTTCCAGTGCATTTACTATAAAACTCCAGATTTACAGGATGTAACTTGTGCTGAAAGGCTGAAATGTTTTGTGCATTTCGGGAGCTACCCACACAAAACCACCAGGCTGCACTGAGGTGGTGCAACAGCCTCCTGTAGATGTTTTGGCTGCAAACACATTTTAAAGTTCAGCTTTGTCATAAATAATCTGGTGCTTTTAGTTTTGGTTTAGTTGCACTCTTTAATCTTGGTGACACACACACACACACACACACACACACACACACACATATTGGTGTTTATTATACGCAGTGTGCTAATACTTGAAACGTAGCTGATGCATTTCTCTCTCTCACTGTTGTTGCTGACTAAAGCTGTAGAAAACACCAGCAGAAGAGTGACCCATATCTGACTGACAGTATGTCGCCACTTTACCAGATTGAATGTCTTATAAGGGCAGAGCAAACCTAGCTGTCGAACTGACACACTGGTATGTGCTCGGTGTTACACCCAGCCTGCTCTGATTCTCTGTCCGACCTGCAAACAGCTGATCACGACCTACCAGTGACACATAATGAAGTGTTAAAAGATCCTTAGATACTCCACATCTCTCACTCAACAAAAATTACAAAATTAGAAAAACAAACAAACATGGGCATTTATTAAAAGTTTAGTGCTACAACATTTGCTATTTACTGTCAGGTGGTGGGAGTGTAACATCGTGCTGTTGTTTATTAAAAACAAACTGGATATCAGCCAATCAGGTTTGAGACAATTGCAGGGTACAAACATAAATCCTGACTGATGTGGGCTTTACACTTCACACTCTCTGTACACTGTAAAACATCACAACTTCCTGTTTCATAAAAGTAAAGTCATTTTAGCTTTTGACATTTTTGGTTAGAGATTCAGTTCCTAATCTTAAGAATCGATGTGCCTGAAAATGAAGATAGGTGATTTAAGGCAGCGCTCCCCAACCTTTTTTGGGCC